TTTTTTTAATTTAATTTAATTGCGTTGCCTCTTTTTGCTTTGTTCGCCGGCCTGGTGCTTTTTGTCGTGGCCGCTTTGCCTTCCCCTCCCGCCCTTCTCCGCGAGAGGAGTGGGGAGGGGGGGAAAAGAGGAAGAGGAGGAGTGCAAACAGAAATGCAGCGCGGCTCGCCCTGAGCCCGGCCGCGGGAGCGGAGCGGAGCCGCGGGACGCGTCCATGTGCGCGCAGTGCCGCGCCGCCCCTGGGAGCCACCGCGCTGGGGCCGGAGCCGGCCGCGGGCCGGGGGGGCTCTGACTCATCCCACGGCCCCTCGCCCCAGCGGAGCGGAGCCGCGCCGCGGGGATCCGCGGATCCTCCGCACACCCTCCTCTGGACACAGCAGCCGCCAGCGGACCTTTGCGAGCGGGGCGGCCGCCTCTCGGATTTACAAGGCGCGGGGCACCGCCGGCCCGGCCGGGATTTGCGCTCTCCGGGGACGGACCCATGGGCGGCGGGGTCCGGCGGCCAGCCATGGTTGTTAGCCGGAGCGCCCCGCTCCGCCTGGCCGGCTGAGCCCTCCCCGCTGCCGGGACTCGGGGCCGCGGCGCGCTAAGCGGGGCGTCCCCGTCCCCCCGGGGCGCGGCGGCGGCTCGGCCCCAGCACGCTCCCCTGGACCGGAGCGGCGAGGCGAGGCGCGGGGGGCCCATGAGCGGCGATGGCAGCGGCTATCGCCAGCTCGTTGATCCGGCAGAAGCGGCAGGCGAGGGAGTCCAACAGCGACCGGGTGTCCGCCTCCAAGCGCCGCTCCAGCCCCAGCAAGGACGGGCGCTCCCTCTGCGAGAGGCACGTTCTGGGGGTCTTCAGCAAAGTGCGCTTCTGCAGCGGCAGGAAAAGGCCGGTGAGGAGGAGACCGGGTGAGTACCGCGGGCCGGGGCCGTGGGGACCGGCTCCGCTCCCAGGTGCCTCCAGCCGTCCGGGGAAGGGCTTGCTCCGCGCTCAACTTCGCCCGGGCGTTGCGGTTCCCCCGAGCTGCGGGGTCGCTGGGCTCAGCCCTCCGCCGCAGCCCGAAGGAGGAACCCAGCGGCTTAACTCACGGTCGTATTTTCCCACCTCCCACTAGGTTCGCTTTTCAAATAATGTGCTCTTATTTTCTGCATAGTGACAAGGGGATCGATAAGCGGAGGATCAATTAGAATCGTGGCCATTTGATATCTCGATCCCTCAAGTGCTGCTTCTTGAGCTGAGTTGCATGGGGAATTTCCTTAGCTCTGAAAGCCTTCCAGATGGCAGCTGCATGACTGTTGCACATAATACCGAGCTTGCAAGAGCCTAGAAATGCATTTTGGGACAGCCTTCTGTTCCTCTCTTTCCTTTATTTGTTTGTATGTGGGCTTAGTTTCCATTCCTTGTAGAAAACTTCTGCGCTGATGTACGTGTTGCTCACATTCCCATGAAGTCCCACCACCCCCAGATTCAGTTCTGAGCAGTGCACTCAGGTGTCCTTGGTCAGCATGAGAACTCAGCACCGGGCAGGAAAAGGCCCTTCCTGAATTCTCAATGGAATTACTATTCACTTCTTCCTTTCTTTCTTACATTGCTAGAAACCACCACTCAGAAAAAAAAAAAAAAATAAAGTAAAACACAGCTTGCTTTGAGAAGCCGGTGTGAGCAGGTCCTTTCCTCAGGTGTTGGTTAGTATCATGGTTAAGTGTGATACACACGTACTCATCTCTTAGGGATGGGTCGTCAGCCTGAGTAGTTCTCCCATATTTCCCATATATGTGCACCTTGCAGCGAGGTGTTGGCCAGCCGGTGGCTGCTCCTGAGGCTGTAGGCTGAGATATGTGACCAGCACTCAGAGGAGGGACAAAAACAGGGAAAACCTCTCAGGTAAAGAGGCCATTCATGGTTGGTTGTGATTGAAGGGGGAAGAAGACTGGGTTATTGGGTTGTTGCCAGCATCCCCCATGCGCAGCCCGTGGGGCTGGGGCTGTATTCGGCTAGCAAAATGCTTCAAGACTCACAGTGCATGTGGTTAGGTTGCAAACCAGACTTATTAATGATCTGTTCTAAAGCAACTGCCAAGAGAGGATGCAAAATATTTGAAATACAGGGTGACTTGACATATTCAAAGGAAAAAAAAACAATGTTGCTTTTTTCTTAATTTGTTCATCTTACTGTGAGTGGTAGCTTGTGGACCATCCTATATCTTAATTACCTTGTGAATCCAGACCATAAAATGGCTCTTTCCCAAGGAGTGTTCTCATTTTATCTGAGGAATCCCTTTTTGTGGGATCAAAAGTGGAACCTGGGACTCTCGCTGATGGAACCTTTTCTCATTCCTCTTTCCTCCCCATCTGCTATTGAGTGACATCCCTCAAGCCGAGGACTCAAAGAGTGGAGACCGTAAAAACACAGAGCCATTAAGGTTGGAAAAGACCACTAAGATCATCGTATCTGATGGTCAGCCCTCAACCCAAATCTAGACCCGTTTTCTGGATTTCAAGATGCTTCATTGCATTAAAGTTTGGGTGACTTTTACTGTGGGATGTGGATGGGCAGTCTTGTTACTGGTCCCATCCCATTGCTCCCAGCTGCAGGTGTAATTCTGCTTCCTTTGGATTCACTAAATGCCCATGAAGAATCACTAAATTCTAAGAATTCCCTTCACTCGCATGGGCTTTCTTGCTAAGGGAGGTGTTCAATAAGTTACACACCAGAGTGATTTAAGGGAGACTTTTTATTGACTAAGAGGAAGGATCAATGCTAGTCAGTGCTGTAAAAATAAAACTGTTCAGTCTTCAGAGCTGACAGTCAGTCACTTGTAACCTGCGCCGTATTCCATTTATAAAATTAAGCAAATAGAGAAATTAATTTGCTTTTAAAAAAAATACCAACTGCCCAGTTCCCTCTTGTCAGTCTTCAAATGAAGGGTTGTTCTTCTGGTGTATCCCACTCCCGGGCTCAGGTGTGCTGCTCAGGGGGTTGCATGCTGCTGGGTTTGCTGCCATTCTCATTATTGGTGCCGGGGGTGTGCTGTGCCCTCGTTACTTATTCATCGCAGAGTCGCTGCTGTGCATAGAAAATGACATGCAAATGAATTGAAACTAGTTTAAAGAAATGTGCATACATTGTGCAGTGACCCACAACCCCAGTGATTATGTGTGCTTAATGATATGCAGCTTAGCACGGTGAGAGGAATGCGAGAAACACCCGTGTTCAAAAGGGGTAGATCCCATTTGGAAGTGGCACGCTGCTGGGGAAACTGTTGTTACCTTCCTAAACATGACCTTGTTTTACAGCTGTAGGGAGAAACTGTTAAAATACTTCACTCTGACAGAGCAATATGCATCTACAGTACCTGGCAAGCTCTACTAAATGGAGAGAGTTCACCCCGTTGTGCAGACAGTGAAACCAAGGCAACTGCTCGACACAGAGCCCCAGTTCCTCCCATCCACCCCATGTTCTTTGCACACTCCCCATGGTCTTTGCCTCTGTAAAGGAATGGTGTGAGCTTATGTCAATTAAGTGTTTATAATAAGCAACACAGTGCTGCAACTGAAACATCCAGGAATGGCGCGTGTGAGCAGAGCTGCGCTTGGCGCTGGTTGGCACCGCGTGCTCCACTTCTCAGTTCTCCTGTTGTCATAGGGAAGGGACAGCTCAGAGCTGGGAGAAGTTGGGGCTGGCTCAGCCCTGGGCGTGGGCAGCTTTTTGGAAGCAGGTCCATGCAGGGACATGTTGTATAATCAGAGCTCTGGGTGCCTGGGGAAAACAGGCTGTGGAGACGTCTCGGTGGTCGGTGGCAGTAAGCACCATGCTGTAAAGCCTGCACTCGTTTCATCCACCTTGTGATGGGCAAAGGCGGCTCACCCAGCATGGTCTCCTTTCTTTCCCATGTTCTTTTTCGTTATCTTTTCTACACGCTTGGCTCTAAGGTACGACTTGTCAGTTTGAGGCAGGCCAACTAAGGACGCCGGTGTGATGGACGGAGCTGCAGATTTGGACTCATGGGCTGAATCCCATTCTTGTGAATTCATACAGGCTCTCGGCAGCAGTTGTGCAGGTACCAAGCAAAATGTGCATATGCTGAAGTGCACCTGCACAGTTATATGTATAAAGTATGGCTAGAAAAGGTTAAAATACGTATTTGGTTCTGACCATAGGAACTTGCTGGAGGATTGCAAAGTAATTAACGTGTGGCATGGATTTTTGGTGCTGTGTCAGGAGATTTAACCTTTGATTAAGGCTTGATTAAGAACAACAGATCCATGAGTTGAATGCATAATACTGGGCATAGCTGCTCTCCCATGGCTTCTCTGCCAACAAATGGTGGAACCAAGTGTATTCATCCCCTTGTGGCTGAACTGAAGCCTCCAGGCATGCTCAGCTGTTCAGTAGTGCTAGCACTGGGCTGGTGGGTGCAGGTTGTTGAGCATGCTGTTGCTTCATCACTCATCTTCACAGGCAGAGCTCAGCCCGAAGCTATGTTCTGCAGCACCAGCCATTGCAGAGCATCATCTCCATCTCTTTGGGCTTCGCTTCTGTAAAAGGGTTTCCAGCTCAGAATGCAGAGTTTAGGGTCACAAACAGTATTTTTTTCTTCCGTCAAGAACAAAAAAAACAACACTGTTTTTTTTTCCTTTTTTTTTTTTTTTTTTTTTTTTTTTTTTTTTTTTTTCCCACTGTCTGATGTGTATTCCATGTTTCTCCAGGGAAAAGATGCTTTTCCTTAAGGAGATCTAAAGGCATCTTCCAAAGTGAAGGAAATAGCTCAAGTGTAGAAAAAAAAACAACCCAGTAACTTAAAATGGCTTTTCCCTTTGCAGTATTTCTCATCTTGAATAATAGATGAAGATTTGGAGTTTTATATATATAAATATATGTAGATATCTTTGCAGCAGTATAAGTGAAACACAAGAGCAACTTCAGCTGAAGGACACGGAAGGACCTTGTTCATTCACAGATTTATCTGAACATTTGAGAAGTCTGTCTATTTTGTAAGCTGTTAAATTCCCCTGAGTCCATTGGATCACAGAATCATAGAATGCCTCGAGTTGGAAGGGATCTGAAGGATCACCAAGTTCCAACTCACTGGTGCATGCAGGGTTGCCAACTGCTAGATCAAGCACCAGCTCAGGTTGCCCAGCACCCAGCCCAGCCTGGCCTTGAGCAGCTCCAGGAATGGAGCAGCCACAGCTTCCCTGGGCAATCTGTGCCAGCACCTCACCTCCCTCTGTGAAAAACTTAGCCAACATCTAATTTCAATCTTCCCTCCTTTAGATTAAAGCCATTCCCCCTTGTCCTAACACTATCAACCCCTGCAAAAAGTTGATTTTCCTCCCTTAGATATTGGAGTTGAATCCTTTCTGATTTCATATGGAGTGAAAGTGATGATTGAAGCTCATGGAAGAAGCACTTTTGTAGTTCTCCATTCATTTTTTTATTGTCCTTGCTCACTTTTATGGTCATTGCTCTCAGTGGAGCTGCAGTACTCGACCAACCCAAGGAATTTGGCCACTGTGGTGTCCCAGAGTTCAGGGTGTATCTCAATGTTTCTCCACGCAGTTTGTGTATGTGTCTGTGTACATGCAGCGGGGGGATGCCATCACACTGCTATTCTGTAGGGTTTGGTGCTGTCCTCCACCAGCTTGGGCCAGGGATAAGGTGTGCTTGGAGGCAGTGACATTGCCTTGCTGAAAAGAATCCTACAAGTGCTGGATGAAGGCACGTGTGCCAAGTGTCTGGTGCTAATGAGTGCACAGTAATCAGGAGTAGGGAAAGGTTCCCTTCTGCTTGAGACAGCTCAGCAAATAGGTTTTGTTTTATCAGATTGAGCCGTGGGGGTGATATTGCACACATACATGATTTCCAAATGCGGGGAATCGGAAGCACTGCAGGCTGCTGGGTTGCT